ACCACTGTCACAGGCGCTTGAAGTCCTCGAGGGCCACCTGGGCGGCATTGCGTCCCGCTGCTCCCATCACTCCTCCTCCTGAAAGAGAGCAGAAATGGGGAGCAGTGGGCAGCTCCAGCCCCAGGAGGTGGGGCCCAGGGCTGCACCAGTGGAGCTGGCCCACCTCCCTGCCCATGGGAGGGCAGAGAGGGGAGCGGACGCTCCTCCCCCCAAGCTGTCCTTGCACCTCTTCCTGCAGTTCCCCAGGAAGGTCCTGGCTCCCAGCCCCACTCACCAGGGTGGGCTCCGCTTCCACACAAGTACAATCCAGGAATTGGGGACCGGTAGCCTGAGTAAGATGGTGCGGGCCGAGCAAAGTACAGCTGGTCCAGAGACATCCCTCCATGGAAGATGTTCTGCAAGCAGAGCTCTGTGTTGAGCTGGCTGTGCCTTGCCCAGGGCTGTGTGCCCACCAGCGCTGGCACTGAAGTGATGCTCAGAGCTAAGCTTGCACCCACCCCGCCGGGCAGCCCAAAGATCTTCTCCAGGTCTGGTGGCGTTAGGATGTCCCTGCCAACGACGGATGCCTTGAACCCTGGAGCATACGCTTCAATGCAGTCGAACACTAGAAAGGGATGGAGGGACTGATGGGCAGCTTGGGGGGACATCGTGGCCAGCCCCTGAGGAGCTCCAGGGTGGCTCTGCCCACAGGCAGGGACCAGTGCTCCTGGTGTTACCTGTGTCCATGTATGCATTATATACCTGTGTCTGCATATGCATTCCTGGCCTGCTCGTCCCAGGGCTGCCCGCCTGCCAGCACGGAGGGGGTGTACTGGGTGAAGAGGGACACGACGTGGCAGCCCCGTGGGGCCAGCCCTGGGTCCAGCGCCGAAGGGATGCAGAGCTCAATCATGGGCCTGGGGGAGCAGGACACCAGCCAGGCAGGCAGGGTGGGACCCAGCCACCCCAAACCTCTTGCCCCAGCACCATCCATCATGTTCATCCTGCCCCTTCACCGGAGCACCGAGGTGTGCCGGGCAGTCTTCTACCTGCTGGAGGGGTGCCCGTGGGTGGCCTCAGTGAAGGCCTGGTGCAGGAGCTGGGTGTCCTCGCAGTTGAGATGGATGGAGCACTGGTGGTGGGGCAGGGGCTGGCCGTCACGGGAATTGGGGGCAGCCAGGAAGCTGGGCAGCCGATCCACCGCCACTGGGCATGGAGGGGGGATGACAGGGGAAGCAGGGTGCAACCCTCTTGCCGCGCC